CTTTAGCGAAACTTCGAAAGGCCATGGAGTATTCATCACTATTTTTTTCCATATAAATAAGCTTCAACCAGCTAGCATCCACACTTTCCAACGTCTGATCGGTTTCGATCTGTTACCAAAATAACCGATATTTTGAATCGCCTCGGGAAAATAGTTCCATAAACAAGGGCCTTAAAGCATAATGCAGCCTGGCTTTTGCCGAAAGAAAACCGAATCGCCTTATAAAAATCTTCGTTTCTTGCTTTTTGTTGCTCTTATTGGTTCGGGCCTGCGCAGTTGGGACTACAACAAGAATCCTGTTGTCGGCTAATGGATTATCCCAGAGGTCCCGATGGTAGGTACTTCATGTATGGGGACATATATTGTACCACTTTTACCTAATTAACTTATAACTTCACTCTTTCTGCTTGGTTCCTTGTTGCCTTGAAGCTTTGTTCTCTGTTAACTTGTTGCTCTGTTTCCTTGTTTCCTAGTTACTCTGTTTCCTTGTTACCTTGTTACTCTGTTACCTTGTTACCTTGTTACCTTGTTACCTTGTTACTCTGTCACCTTGTAACCTTGTTACTCTGTTACCTTGTTACCTTGTTACCTTGTTACTTTGTTACCTTGTTACCTTGTTACCATGTTACCTTGTTACCTTGTTACCTTGTTACCTTGTTACTCTGTTACCTTGACTCAAAAACGGCTGGTGCCTAAGCACCCTGATAACAGCGTGTAGCAGCAAACTTCATAATCGTCCGCCATCTTTTGATGGTTAGAAAAAGGGCTGGAAACTAGATATTTTGTAAGCTTTATCTTGATTGGACATGTTAAAAAGCAGACTAATACAACGCTTTTAATTGGTGTTTACTTAGAGTCCCGGGAAATCTAAAAACAACGTGCGAATAGCGGCAGATTTGTTCTGATTCATTCATAACTTATGAATGGAGTACGTAGTATTTTTTTTTTATGCACAGTTTATTGGACATTTTTGCTGTTTGTAGTTTTGTTTTCCATTTTTTCTGTATGAATCTAGATTCTGCCGCTTTTTACTAGTTTTCTACTTATCAAAAAAGGTTGTTTTCAATGATTGCATTTAGCTTTCACTTATAAAACTACACGAATCACTTTTTCAGCAGCCGATTATCATCGTTTTCATTTATTTGTTATAGCTTATTACTCACATCGCCATCTTTTATTCGAATTCAATTCAAAACCTTAAAATTCGTTTGTGTAATTAGCTCCTTTGTAGTTTTCATCTTGCTCGATTGAACTAATCGTAAAGCAATTTTTGAATTATTCAGCCGAAGAAAATCCGGCTTGCTGTATTTTTTTCCTAGGGCTTTTAGCATCAAACTGGTCAATTCTTTTATCCTTGTTTGACACTCAGATTATGAATTGTCTAGCAAGACACAAAAACCTTTCGTTATTCTAAAAGAGAGCAGTAAGTGCCATAATATAATTTACCGAGCCAAAAACCATGTTGTAATGATTTTTTTGGTTCGCAATCGATCGCGCGCTTCATCAACACGAACGTGTCCTACTTCAACACACATAGGTTGGATGGTGAAGGAAAATTTTCCTGGAACTTTTAAATCTCAGTGGGAAAAAAATAAAAATGTTATTCACCGGCCTAGCTAACTACGAGAAAACGACTGGAGAACTCCCAAAACGGACCTCCCAGCCGGTGAATAACATAATTATATTTATTTACCATACTTTAAATTTGTATTGCTATTAAAATTTCAACAGTTGGGTTTTTCATTCTGCTAAATTATGATGCCATGTGTGCTAACATTGGCATCTTTGTGAAAGGTTTGAACCCAGGAGTCATTTCAAAAGTAGGCTGAGTTTAATCGTCCTGGTGAACGTAGTCCTGAATAGGACTGTTGTTGTTGACAGTGACTGACGTTTCGACAACCTGTGCGATAGTCATCTTCAGAGTCAAAGTGAGTTGTATCACGTCAGTTGATGGTATTATACTCTGGTTATTGATCTGATTGGTCAATTACGTCGCGATGTTATTGGTCGTCTGTCAGTTAATATACACTTAACGTCAGATCCCGAGGGAAACAGTTAGTTTTGTTTTCCCGAGAGTCCTGATGTTTCCCTCGACTTCGTCTCGGGAAACATCAGGACTCGAGGGAAAACAAAACTAACTGGTTTCCCGAGGGACCTGACATTAAGTGTTTTGTTGTATTTCTACACTTTCACTTCAACAGCAACAAAAGAATAACCGGAGCGAACCAAAACAGTCGACTCGGTACTTATAACAACACAAATTTAATTCTCAAAACCACTGTTTGAATGATTTACAAAGTACCTTCCTTACCTTATCTGCATCATTTTCCTCCACTAGCCACTGTTTTTCTTCTGGGAAATTTTTGGATAACTTTAAAAATCGTTGCTTTTTAGCTTAAGGCTTCGTGTTTGTGTTGTTGTGTTCATTCACGAAAAAGAAAACTGGCAGGACCTGGCAGGACCTGGCAGTATTTTTCCCGCCTTTGTCACGCCACTTTCCACCATGCTTTGATCACGTGCTGTAATGTAGCCCGAGCGGGGTACATTGCTTATTGTATCACGATCGGGATACATTTGATTTTAGTCAAGGCCACGTGACCAAGAATCAACCAATGGCAGTCCCTGTTTAGTTGAGTGAAAGTCTAGGAATATAACAAGCCGTGATGTTATTGGCTATGAAGACTCGTAATCAGTAATTGGTGCGTTTCGATCCGTCTATTGTCACAGTTAAACAGTCGTCTATTGTTAGTCAAATTATCAGTCGTCCTCTCGTAGTTAGTTTTGATTGATTATAGTGCTATTTTTGCAACTTTTAATTAAAGTTTTCTGTTTTACTAAATCGTAGTGCAAATAAAGTAGCACTTTCTAAACACATAACAGAGGCATTCCTTTCCTACTGCATGACAGATAGGAAAAAAACAGTTCATAGTCAGAATACCTTAGAGTTGATAAATTTGTCATTTTTTTCCAATGTTAGCATTTATATTTGAACTCTAATAACTCTTCCACTACTTTTCCAGTTTGCAAAAAGGGATGAAAAAGTAATGC